CTGTGGTAATAGAATTCGCCTTTGCGTCGTGGTATAGTTAGAGTGTTACTATTGGTACGCAGCACCGGAGGTCGTTACACACCGGTCAGCGAAACAATTTGCCTTAAAAGTAGAGAGCACATCCACAAAACCGAATAGTGGCCTAATTGCTGGACGAAGTATTTGAATGAACAGTTCCAATGACCTAGTTCTAGTTCGGTTATTCCGGCTATTGCGCGGAACTCAAAAGCTCAATCAAGGTTAGGTGGTCGGGTTTGGCGCGCTCTTCTTTATACAGAGGACGCGCAATGCGCAGTTAACAGGCTAGGAAATTCTGTTACTCCATTCGGTAAGTGCTCGCACTTTTAAAATGTTACAAGTACAAGTGCTACAAGCCAGGGTTTTGTCCACCTCGGCTCTTATACTTCATGATTAGAAATAAGAAATCTTGTTGAAATACTTCTGCTACTTAAGTAGTTGCGTGGAAAATGATGGTAGTATAGTAAAGGTAGCCGCCCAAAATTCCCAAGGCTTGAGTAGCGGATGCATGATTAAGCTTGTAGACAACGCTGGTGATAATTCGAGGGAGAATTCGGTATCACGTGTTCAGATTTGCAGGACATGTATTGCGTATGCCCAGCTGTCGTCTGCCGCACCACGCCTTATCTACTGTTGCTACTTCAGATTGGAGGAATGCACGTGGAGGTCACCAGATGATGTGGAGACGGTACAGATTGGGGTCACAAAAGACATCTTAACGAATTGGTTGAAGACACTGAATGATATCGCACCGAACCCGTGTCAGTGGCGTTCTTGTCGCTTCTTATCATGTGAGAATATTGGAGTAGGTGTGTATACCCATTTAGATTTCGCACTCCGTAACCATAGAGCTTCACTTTCTTTTCCTCCCTCCAAATAGGTTCAATTTATGTCCATTTTAGACATTCTCGCTTACATTGTGTACATTGTGAGTTTAGCGGTGATCGGGGTAGTTCATTCACGGCCTTTCGCTTTACTATGACGATAATGCTGTTGATAGACAAATATTTGGGAGACGCGACTGTATTAAAGGGAGGACCGCGGATTTAACAGGTAGTCGACCTTTGCGGAATTTCTAAGTTAACCAGTTCAGTGCGCTTTTATTATCGAGGTTGGCTGTTGGGAGGAATTTAGTGTTTGGCATTTCTAAACTCAATCATCAAGTGGTCGGAAAACCTCTACCATGAAAAGTTTGATGACGATCCATTCAGGCTGCTTTGCTCGGTTCTATCGTACCCGTTCAATAATTGAATGAGAACAACCGAGGCACGACTGAGCGTCACGGGCATCGGCGTTTTACCATTAAAAGGGTGCTGCAAGCTTTCTATTCAGGGTCTTCCTATAGGATCTGAACAACAACGAAAAGAGAACCACCGCGTGTACCAAATTCACGGTTATATAAGCGATTGAACTTTTCTGGTTTTTGCAGAGCGATAACCAATAGGAAGGATGAGTCTCAGTGACTTGAATCTCCTGTTCAGTTATGGAAACCACTAACCCAAACACTGGGTCGTTGACTAACGAGTCACACAGTGCCTTGGCATATAAATGCATTACAGAGGAGTAGTGAAGGATTATGTTCACTTGTGCAGGGCACATGAAACTAGGGCGGGAAGCTAGAAGCACTGGACAGTTGTTTCAACCTTGTTAGGTTTCAGCAATGCTTATCTATCGACCCAACTGGGAATCGAATCCTCTACCTCACGGGCAAGAAGGGTTTTATACTCAGTTGGATCGATGGATTCGTACCGTTAATGAAACCCAATCAGGTCGAACCGGCGATTTTATTGACCCAGATTACGGTAATACTGCCTCATTGTGACACCCATGCTCTTGGGTCACAAAGCACACCAGTGACAACGACTTAACCCCCTTGACCATCATAACTCAAAACTAATCGTTTCGTGAAAATCGTAAGGTAAACGGCTTCTTGGTACATTCAAGACTAGTGGATATAATTAAGCACATGTTCCTCTGGTTTTTACTTTTTTACTGACTTGATTCTCCCTCCGATACATTATGTTTAGTACATACAGTCTAGTATGTTCCATTTTAATTGAATTAAGGCTTTTAGTGATATATCACGTAAACTCTTTCGTGTGTTATAAATATACCATTCAAACTAAGATTTGTCATCTGTTCTGCCCGCTTGCTCCGTTTTTCTAATTTAGATTATATGTATCTATATCAGGTAGTTCATCGTGTAAGATGTTGTTCCTATTTTACCACCAGGCTTTACTCCTAAGGTGCAAGAATTGCCGAACAAACCATCCACATCTAGTACAAAGTCGACCGATGCAAATAAACTGCCTGTGGAAGTTACTCCCAGTAGCCCTGCACCGGTTATGAAACAGGACTCTTCGCGCCAAGAAGGACTCATGTTGAATATTGTAAGCTGTTTTAAATTTACTGAAGTGCCCTCGCTCCGTTTCCGACCAGATTTATCGAAGCACTTTTTCTATTTAATTATTTGCCCCGGGTTCCGTAATCATCAGCTTATTTTATCCAGTCGTAGTAGTATTTGTTAAAGGTGGGATGCGATCTTCAGGGAAACTCCACTCTTGTGCAAATTAGTTACCTTCGATTTATCACTGATGCTGAAGACTGTCTTATGTTCACCACCCTATCACTATTCATTGTAGCCACGGCCGCAGACATCATTGGTTGTCTCAAACAACTAAAGGCGCCTTATGTATACAGAGTTTTTGAAACCCAAAGGATTCCAATCACCATCCGTGAAAAAGCTGAATATCTTATAGTGTTCATACATGCAACGTTGGATATTTTTCATGAACAGAGAAGAGGGATGGCAGTATCTCTTTGACTACGGTGACCATCCTAGGGAGGAGCACTGGATGACTATCATTTGATGCATTTTTGGATCTACTAATGCTTCCGAACTACTGAAACAAAGAGCGTCTCACTCCTTTCAAGGTTGGAATAATTATTTAACAGATAAAGAAGTATTGTGTGCTGTTTTGCTGAAACTACAGAACTTTATGTTACCTCTTGTGGCAGGCCAACCGTTTTTCCTCCGTATTCTCATACACCAGTAAAGGAAACAAAATATTGGTGTGTTATAACTGATTAATGTCCTACTCAGGCTAAGGCTAAATACCAACTTCAGTATGCAGAATTCTCTCTTAGTGGCGAGCCGCGATCGCCATGTCACAGTGCATTTTGCAGTCTTATGCGATATCTCATAGTGAAGAGCGCTAGCCAATCAAAACACTATCACCCGTGATTCGCGGCTGTATAATTACAAGTCTCAGTTTTCAGTTTATACTTTCAACAATCATTCTTTTTCGTGCGGTGGCTCTGGTTGCCATCTTTTAACCACCCATTTGAATAGAGAAGTTGAGGGAAGATTGAAACACTGAAATCAGTTCAAACCTGAAGACAGAGAATTCATGTAGACTTGGGCTGCAAAGAGATTATAACGATGCGCGAACGCTACTGTTTACGACACTCATCGATATCACTCAATGTCTTTAACAATCGGCGTTCCCAACCAGGAAGCCTGTTTCATCTTTTACTCTCCTGTCCCCTGGTCAGGTGCACAAAAGTGCATGTTTATTGGTTGCACAAACTGAACTGAACCCCTGGTCAGGGTTTTTAATCAATCATGACGGGTTTTAGCTTGACTACCTTTGACATTCTTCCAACAAACACATGCCTCATCAACCACCGCACACCGTGCAACCTATTTGCTAATATGCGTTATACATTTCCCGGCCAACGTAATCTATACAGTTTTGACATTTTCTCCAGTGGATGACCGCGATCATTTTAAGCTCTTCCCCTTACCTCAGTATTACCTATCCGGTTTCCCCGTCAGGCTCATGCATCGCGGTGTAGACGGAAGTGTTCCAACACTGACGGTCTCTCCTTATCATTCTCCCGTAGTTGTCAATCCTGTGCACGATACAGCAGTCTCGCCCGAACCACTGCAGCACACTCGATCCTTTACGAGCAGCTGGATGTCGTGACAAGACCAGAGATGTCCCGAGTTGGCAAATGCCAATCGCAATCGTAGTACAATGTCATATGCATGCCGAAGATGAGATATTCTGATACCTGGGAGCATATCGGTGTTGCTGACGACAGCTGTTTCCAAAATCATATCTAATTTAGAGAGAGGGCATCTCAGATGAACATCGCTTTCCGTGGTGAATTCGGGTGAGAAACAGCTGTAAGCTCGAACTCGGCTTTAGATATTCAATGACGCGGACCTGGCGCAACAAGCGGAGATCGCGAACGATGCGAGGGCAGAACACGGTAATGTTACTGAGCGAGTAAGAATCTGTATTGGTTTATTCAAGAAAAATCGTTGAGCAAACGCGTTACTTCAAATAAGTGACAGGCGTGTTATTCACCACTTAGCAAATGTTACCACTGAGATTTGTTCGCCGCGAAAACCCTGAAATGGGAGGCCAGAGGGAGCTTCAGTTTCGCGGGCAATATATATCTCCGGGTGTATTTTCCGCTACATTATACTGTTCTCTCTCTGGAATGGCACTGTCCTCAGTGCCTATTGTACTTGCTGCAACCATTTCGCCACCTTCCGGACCTATCTCGATCGACTGTTCAACTCCTGGAGGCGCCCCAGGTGGGGCGAGTTCTATCTTTTTACCTAGATCGTCTGACGATCCGGAAAGGCTTTAACTGGTTGAATTGTACCGCCAGTTTCAGTTTTTACAACCATTAACCATGCACTTTCGTGCGCCGGTTTTGGTTGATGTCTTTTGGTCGCCCATTGGGATAAAACAACAGAATGATCATTAGAATGTTGAGAGCAGATGTAAGCGGAAGCTGGAGAATTCATGAAGAATAGTGATAGGGGAATAATGAGTGGATGCACGAGCGCCACTGTTTACGATACCCAGTCATATCACTCAGTGTCTCGGAGTTTAGATGTAATGTTGATTAAACTAATTCCTCTGTGGTTTTTACAAGAGGATCTATCACCTTTATTGTAAATCGGTATGATGACGGATTCACACCATTCAGTTGGAACCTGTTCCTTTTGCCACACCGAGCCTAGGAGTTTTGTTAACTCCAAATCCAAGGGTGGACCTCCATCCTTAAAAACGGATGGGGACAGCCCGTCAGGGCCGGAGGCCTTATGCCGTTTGAGGTGACTTATTTCCCGGGAAACCTCCATTTCAGACGGAGGACTGATGCCAACTTGCAATATTTGCACAGTTAAACCGTGTGGGGGAGGTCTTGTGTCGAAGGAGACCAGCCGACCTGTGCCTTAAAATGTTCTGCTCAACGCTCAAAACGGCGTTGCTGAATATGGATCAGTGTGCTGTCGGACTCTTTGATTACCTCACTTACGCCCGCTTTCCTTGGTCCTGTATTCCTAATCAAATGAATATTATTACGATTATTGCCGATTGTCGCAGCCTCCATCTCTCTAGACTTCCCTACCCACAACTTCTCGTGGTCATTCCTCAGAAACTTGATGAACTGGCGTTTAAGGGATTTACGCGTTTTGCCATATTTTGAATCTGAAGGAATGACTCTGCGAGCGTCCAGCAGGGCAACCGAAGTCGGGGAGATCCATCGTTTTTGCTTTGATCGTGCCCCAGAGTTCGCCGTTGTTTTTATCGACGTTTGCATCGCTTCCTTGATTGCTGACCAGTGTTCACTGAGTCCTCCCGATAATAATTGAGCTGAGATGCGATCTGTTGGTTCCGCCTTGAAGACCGATTTGCAACTGTCGGTGATACTGTATTGTGAACATCCGTTTTCGGCGGCTTTTCTGCGGTTGTTTTTCAGGCTTACGGAGAATCTCGCTCGTGGCAGAGCATTTTCCGTGTCCACGGTTGTTGACCAGTACGAGAGGTAGTCTCCAATGGATCCCCTCCAACAGAAATGTTCTGCCAGGTTTTCATCTCTCTGTGAAAGTATCTTGCGGATTGTGTAAGCGCTCGCTATGCGAGTAAAGATGACATTGTATGGGCCTGTCCAGGGTTGATGGAGTTTGGTCGAATTATCTTTCGGCGGCTAAGGTCGGTGCAACTGTACTTGGTCACCAACTGTATGTGGCGTATGCTGTCGTATTCGCTAATGAGGAAGAGCCAGTTAAACCCTAGGTTCATCAATGCTATTGTCATTGTAGTTTCCCGTTTTAGTGCTCGAAGCTATGTGGCTGATCGTTTATCCATAACTGATCCTTTACATAAGCTTCTCGGTGGAGGGAGACTGTTTCCATCCCACTATCTGCGTGAGCAATCTGTATTTTCCCCAGACGGCTTTTGTATGGCCGCAGCCCCCTTCCTGAAAGTTGACTGTACGTTTGTATATTCAATAAATAGAGAAAGGAAGTTAAAGACATTTATTTTATTATTATTTTTATGTTACGAGTTGCTCCACTTCAACTAGTGGGTCTTTCTTTGAAGCTCTGTCGTATCGTTTCAGGAAGACGGAACTGAGAATCGTGACCGTGGCGGTGGTGCAGTGGTGTAGTNNNGCCACCACCACCCAACTTTGGTGGTAAACAGCTGTGCTGTCGTCCGGTTCAAAACCACACCTAGCTTATCGGGGCCTTATGTGGTTCACCACTCCAAGTCCCGGGGCTTAGGTTACCGGTTTCCATCAATGAACAGCAGGTCCTCCTGACTATGGGGTTTACTCCTTCTACTATCCCTCACAGGAAAGTGTGTAAAAAATTAAGCAAGTAAGCCACCGTTAGTTGAGCTGCGGAGTTATTGTAACAAGCGTTCGTGTGGAATACAGTTCGTGATTGTGCACAAAGGGGTTCGCGGTGAGGGCCTCGGGTAGTTTAATAATGAGCGACCGAAACATTTCTGTTTCTGGGAGCAAGATCTCTGGCTTTCCGTTGAGTACCATTGAGGCTCTCCGTTTGGCCGTTGTGCTGCGAGTTGTATGCGGTTATATGGCTCGTTGCAGCCCTCCTACCAAACAGAACCTCCATGGATGTCACAGATGTAAATAATGCACCACTATCATAGTGAATGTTAGCTGGTTTTCCAAAGAGTAAACAGTTGACCAAGGCAACTATATATATATATATA